AGACTCAACATGCAACTATTAGGAAGGTAGACAAGTCCATAGAAATGGTGTAAATGTGAACACCGTATTTTCTGGTTGCAAACTGAGTAACCCAAAATTACAACCATCATATTCAGTTAGGAGGCCTCATCATAAATAATAACAAATATTTGATGGATGGCACTGCATCAGTTGAATGAGAAGAGAATCCCCATCCATCAAAGATACAATTGCCTAACATCAAATTCATCCCCCATGCAATGGACAATAGATTTTCTTTTTTTTGGAGGATGAATGGTCAGCGCCTAGGCACAATTTTGATGTTGACAGTGTAGCATAAGTCTTCTTTCTTTATTTTCCCGACATAACCGGGTTTTACAATGGGGAACTATGATAATCATAGCCTTCAATCAGCCTCTAAAACTATAAAACTCAATATACAGACTGTTGCAACATCCTGAACTCAAATAGCAAAAAGTGACAAATTTCTTTGTTGTGAAACCATCAATTGATAAGAGGAAAATGGCTGAGAATGAGAACAAAACATTTGTTGCTTGCAAACTGAGAAGCCCAATCACAACTATCAAATTCAATTAAAATGCCACCTCTAGAAACAAACTGATGGGTGGCACTGCATCAGTTGCCTGAGGTGAGGATCTATTCAAGCCCAGCAAAACCACAAATTTCATATCATTCCAGAGTGTAACCCAGACGTTGGGGTAGGCCAAGTCCAACAAACGATATTTTGGATCCAAGATGAATAAGAAAGGACCCCAAGATCTCTACACAATAGAAAGACGACTTTTAGGAAATGGTGTGAATGAGAACAAAATATTTGATGTTTGCAAACTCAAAAGCCTAATCACAATTAAAATAACACATCTAGAATAATGGCATAAACAACTGATGGTTGGCCCTGCATCGGTTGCTTGAGGTGAAGATCCCCTAGCCATCCATGAAGCAATTAGCCAAATCACTTAGGTCTACCTCTACGTCTCTACCTTTCTTAATGTTGGCTAGATCTAATACATCTACTGTCCAAACTGGGACATCGATAGGGCAAAGTTTTATGTGACCAAACCATCTTAGACGACTCTCTCTAGTCTTATCTGCCACTGTAGCTACTAAAACCTTTTTCCATATATACTCATTTAGCATTCCGTCACTAAGAGTAAAGGCACTCATCAGCCTGATGATCATCATCTCAGCAACATTTAACTTAATTTTACTTAGCTTTTAAGGGTCAAAATTCTGCACTATAAATCATTGCAGATAAAAACATCTTATAGAATTTTCCCTTAAATTTGGGGATACTTTTCTAACACACAACAGACTTGATGCATTCCTCGGCTTCAATCACGCAACTTGAATTCTACTAATAATATCCCCATCAATTTCACCATCACTTTTGAATAAAAAACTCGGATATCTAAAATGAGAACTCTTTTTAATGAATTCATCTACCAAAATCACGATCTCCCACTAATATATTACTATTAAATTTAGGGGTGTCAATTTCGGGTCACGGTTAGGGCTCAGCTCAAACCCGAAACTAACCCAGCACTATTCGGGTCAACCCAAACCTGATCCGATTTTGCAAACGGGGCGGTTTTTCGGACTTGAACCCGAAAATGTAACCAACAAATGTACAAAAATTTCAGTATGATTTCTTGATAGGAACAGAGCTTGCAATCAACAAATGTATCCAATCCTTACAATGGCAGCATCTGCATGAACAAAAGACAGCAAAAATACGTCCCTACAACAAAAGACAATTAGATATGGGAATCTCAAAGACATTTTACACAAATGAACATCTTACAACACCCAAACACACAACATCACAGCTTGCCTCCTATTCCAAGTGAATACAATCCAGGATACTTCCACAATCTTGCATGTGATGCTCAATATTAAGCCTATCACGAACATTTGCATTTTAACAAAACGAAAAAAAATCAAGTAGTTTCTAAGGACCGTGCAACATAAGCATCATTGCCCAGTAAGTATTACATTAGCATTTCAAAAACAACTATTATCAGTGCAAATGACAAAAAACGGATTTGAAACACTTTTTTCAATGATTTGCATGCAATTCTTATAAGGAAACAAGTGTGAATTTGCTAACTAAACACAGAGAAGAGA